CACCTCTCTCTCTCCTCTCCTCTGTCTATTTCCTCTCTCAGTTCTCTCTCTCTTCTCTCTCCTCTCTCTCTCTCTTTGTCTCTCTTCTCTCTCTCCTCTGTCTCTCTTCTCTCTCCAGTCTCTCTTCTCTGTCTCTCCTCTCTGTTCTCTCTCTCTCTTCTTTCTCTCTCTCCTCTCTTCTCTCTCTCCTCTTTCTTCTTTCTTTTTCTCCTCTGTTCTCTCTCTTCTTTCTCTCTCTTCTCTCTCTCCTCTGTCTCTCTTCCCTCTCCTCTCTCTCTCTTTCCTCTATCTCTCCTCTCTCTCTTCTCTCTCTCCTCTCTCTTCTCTCTCCTCTCTCTTCTCTCTCTCTCTCTTCTTTCTCTCTCTCCTCTGTCTCTCTTCTCTCTCCTCTCTCTCCTCTTTCCTCTGTCTCTCTGTCTCTCCTGTCTTTCTCTCTCCAGTCTCTCTTCTCAGTTCTCTCTCTCTTCTTTCTCTCTCTTTTCTCTCTCTCTTCTTTCTCTCCTCTCTCTGTCTCTCTTCTCTCTCCTCTCTCTTCTCTCTCTCTCTTCTCTCTCTCTCCTCTTCTTTTTTTCTTTCTCTCCTCTCTCTGTTCTCTTTCCCTTCTTTCTCTCTCTCCTCTCTCCTCTCTCCTGTTCTCTCTCTCCTCTCTCTTCTCTCTCTCCTCTTTCCTGTCTCTCCTCTGTCTCGTCCCTCACATGACGTTGGTCAACCTGTCCTCTAAAGTTATGTCTCTCTCAGAAATTTTGGGGTTATTCTCCTAACCACTTTGATGACTTTGCTTGTTATTGCCCTGCGGTACTGAGTTTTGTGTGTGTTCAGATCTTGTGGGGTTAGGGAAAGTTCTTTCCTTTCGAAGCGCTTTTGTAGACGCAGACTTGGCTTTATAGCTTACTGATGTATTTATATGCCAGAGCTTAAAGGCTGCTTCCCTTGAAAACGATGCCAAATGGTTTACAACTCCGGGTTAAAGTAAAAGGATTAAAACTCCACTTTGCTTTTTAAGCAGAGGGAAACCATCTGTAGGCTTCTGGCTTTGGAAAGGTTCAAAACGTTGAACAAACCTTTTGAAAGGGAATTACATTTTTGGTGCGTGTGTGCGCACATATGCCACACAACCCTTTTAGAGGTGAAGTCACATTCCTGCACACTTGCGTAGCTATGGGGATGGGGAAAGTCTCCCTGGAGTCAAAGTAGCCTGGACACGCTATAGTGGATTTTAAAACAGGAATCTGCAGCCTGCTGCTTCTTCTCAGTTGCAGCATTCTGCGATGTGGTTGCGTGTTGTTGCTGTAAAGATGAAGGTTAAAGCACACAATGCCTTTTGCGGTTGTTCCACGGTTATAATATTGCGCCTTGTTTCGGAGGCTCGGTTGTCGTAGATCAGTGGTTCTCAACCTGTGGGTCGGGACCCCATTTGGGGTCGATCGACCATTTCACGGGGGTCACCAAGCAAGGCTGTCCGCCATTTTTTTGTCCGCCATTTTTTTTGTCCGCCATTTTTTTTGTCCGCCATTTTTTTCCCCTTTTCCGGCGGGTGCCTTACCTCCCTTGGGCTGGGCCAGCTGGTGGTCGGCCTGCTCCGTCTCTGCCGCTTGCCAGCTACGCCTCGGCCGGCGCAGGGGGCGGAACCACGCATGCGCGGCGCTCCCGAGCAGGGAAAGTCCTCGACTTACGACCGGTTGGGTAGTCCTTAACTTAAGACCGGTTTAGTCCTCGACTTACGACTGGTTGGGGTCGCGGCATTAAAAAGGTTGAGAACCACTGTCGTAGATGAAGAATCAAAGGGACACAGAACTGGGGGCTCCTGGGGGCTCTCTGAGTGGGGTTGTTTCCTTACAGACGTTTGACATCTCTTGAAAGGGAAGGGAGGGGAATTTGCAGATAGGAGGGGGAGGAAGAGGAGGGAGGGGACGACGAGGAGGAGGAGGATGACTGTGGGGTCCTGGGTCTTCTCTGAGCTTGGTTTTCTTGCAGATGTTTCATTAGCCAGCTAGGGAACATCATCAGTAATAGAAGGCAGGGAGATTTTTCAGAGGAGGAGGAGGAGGAGGAGGATAAAGGGAGGAAGAGGAGAAGGAGAAGGCGGAGAAGGAGGAGAAAGGGAGGAGGAGAAAGGGAGGAGGAGGAGGAGGAGGACTGTGGAGTCCCTAATGCTCTCTGAACTTGTTTTTTTTCTTGCAGACGTTTCATGACCCAACTAGGGAACATCATCAGTGCTAGAAGGCAGGGAGAATTTTCAGATTAGGAGGAGGAGGAGGAGGAGGAAAAAGGGAGGAGGTGGAGGAAGAGGAGGAGGAGGAGAAAGAGAGGAGGAGGTGGAAGAGGAGGAGGTGGAGGAGGAGGAGGAGGAGGAGGAGAAAGGGAGGAGGGAGGAGGAGGAGGAGAAAGAGAGGAGGGAGGAGGAAGAGGAGAAAGGGAGGAGGAGAAGAGGAGGAGGAGGAGAAAGGGAGGAGGAGGAGGATGTGGGGTCCCAGGTGCTCTCTGAGCTGGAATTTTTTTCTTGCAGACGTTTCATGACCCCGCTAGGGAACATCATCAGTGCTGGGGGGGGGGGGTTTCCTCTCTGTTTATATACAAATGGTTTGCCCTGTTAACATTGGTAGTTTTCTTGGTGGTTCAACGCCCAGATAAGCAGAGATTAACAGCAAGATTAACACCAGGCCAACACTCAAGCAGCAAGCAAGAAACAGTCAACAGTCGACAATACCCCAATCAAGGAACTACCAACTCAGACAAACAAGGGATCAATCACCCGCAGTCTAATCAGGGATCTTGCTGAGCAAGCTGGATTCTACCGGCAGTGCTTCTGCTCTCCTGTAGGTGTCGCCCTTGCACAACGGATAACTCAAATACTAACTATGGAGAAGCTCTTGGCAGTTGAAGAATAGAACAGAGCTGGAGGGGACCTTGGAGGCCTTCTAGTCCAGCCCCCTGCTCAAGCAGGAGAACCTATACAGTCTCAGACAAGTCTAGCCTCTTCTTAAAAACCTCCAGTGATGGAGCACCCACGATTTCTAGAGACAAGCTGTTCCACTGGTTAATTGTCCTCACTTTTAGGAAGTTTCTCCTTAATTCCAGGTTGCTTCTCTCCTTGATCAGTTTCCATCCGTTGTTTCTTGTCCTGCCTTCGGGGGCTTTGGAGAATAAATTGACCCCCTTCTTCTTTATGGCAGCCCTTCAAATACTGGAAGACTGCTATCATGTCTCCCCTATTTCTCCTTTTCTTTAGACTAGCCAAACCCAAGTCCCACAGCCGTTCTTCGTATGTTTTAGTCTCCAAGCCTTTGATAATCTTAGTTGCTCTTCTCTGGATTTTTTCCAAACTCTCCACATCTTTTTTGTGATTATGGTGAGCAAAATTGGCTGCTGTATTCCAGGTGTGGCCTCACTAGGGTTTTATAAAGCAGTATTAATACTTCACGTGATCTTGATTCTATGCCTCTGTTTATACAACCCAGGATTGTATTAGCTTTTTGGGCTGCTGCCGCACACGGCTGGCTCTTGGTCAAGCGATCGTCCACCAGGACTCCAAGGTCCCTCTCACAGTTTGTATGTGCGATTCTTGAGCTTTGAAGAGTAGAAGTGGTAATTGAGGAGATGTAGTGAGGTTCACCCTTGTGGAAATCAGCTTCCTTCTCCAGCAACCCAACTCTTCTCCATTAGAAGAGGGCTTTCTCTGGGAGAACCTCACTCATGTCCCCGTGATGGAACCTCACTCAAGGTCATGGTTTCTGTCTCCTCCTCCTCCTCCTCTTCCTCCTCCTCCTCCTCCTCCTCCTCCTCCCGTCTTCTCCCCCTCCTCCTCCTCCTCTTCCTCCTCCTCCTTAAGGAATGTCTTAAATGCAAAACATAAGCAGAGAGCAAACCCTTCTCCCTTCTAGCACTGATGGTGTTCCATAGTTGGGTCAGGAAACGTCTGCAAGAAAACAGCTGAACTTCTCCTCCTCCTCCTCCTCCTACTCCTCCTCCTTCTCCTTCTCCTCCTCCTCCTCCTTCTCCTTCTATTTCTCCTTCTCCTCCTCCTTCTTCTCCTTCTCTTTCTCCTCCTTCTTCTCCTTCTCCTTCTCTTTCTCCTCCTCCTCCTTCTCTTTCTCCTCCTCCTCCTTCTCCTTCTCTTTCTCCTCCTCCTCCTCCTCCTCCTCCTCCTCCTCCTCCTCCTCCTCCCTCCTCTTCTTCCTCCTCCTCCTCCTTTCAATAAACCCTACTTCCTTCTAGCACTGATGATGTTACCTAGCCTGATAATGAAATGTCTCAGGGACCACCCACAGTTGTTCTCCTCCTCCTCCTCCCCTTCCTCTTCCTCTTTCTCCACTTCTTCCTCTCCACACACACACCCCTCCCCTTCTAGCACATGTTACCTAGCCGGGTCATGAAACATCTGCAAAAAAACAGCCCAGCGCAGAGAGCACCAAGGACCCTCTCGTTTCAACCTTGAGCCACAAATATCCTCTCCCGTCAGCATAGACCAGGCTGGCTCTCCCAGGAGACCCTCAAGAGGACCGAGGTCCTCGCTAGGGGTCCCCAATGCTCACCCTTTACTCAAAGGGCAATTTACGAGGGACTCGCCGAGAACGTCTGCTGTTTATTTCCCTGCGGTCGCTGTGGGATTATTCCCACTGGATCATGCCCCAGGTTGGGAGGTGAGGCTGTTGCCGCATGTATAAAAAATGCTAGAATGTGGACCAAGAAGTTTCCACATGCCCATAGTGGAAAATATTTGGAAAAAGGTTTCACATGCTTGCCCTAGGATTAAACAAGTTATCCACAAGGCCGGCCAAGACTGTGGATTTCCACAAATGTTTAAAACATAACGATGAGTTGGTTGCCTTAAAAATAGAGCAGGCTGTAAACAGGCAGACGCACACGGAGTTCCTAAAGGATGAGACGGAAAAGTCATCCAGACCAGGCTTGGATCCTGGATGTGGGGAATGTTGGGTTCAATAAAATAATAAATCTAATTCCAAGGCCGGCTGAGGGCAGTCTTCCAGTGTCTCAGGGGCTGCCCCAAAGAAGAGGGAGTCAAGCTATTCTCCAAGGCGCCTGAAGGCAGGACAAGAAGCAACGGATGGAAACTCATCAAGGAGAGAAGCAACCTGGAACTAAGGAGAAATTTCCTGACAGTGGGAACAATTAACCAGTGGAACAACCTGCTTGCAGAAGTGGTGAATGCTCCAACCCTGGAGGTTTTGAAGAAGAGACTGGACAGCCATTTGTCTGAAATGGTGTAGGGTTTCCTGCCTGAGCAGGGGGTTGGACTAGATGACCTCCAAGGTCCCTTCCAACTTTATTATTATCATTATTATTATTGTTGTTGTTGACCAGTGTATTGGGGGAAATGCCTGTGGAGCTTCTCCATCATCCAGGCCATCCTGGTCCCAAAGGTGCTTTTTTCCAAAAGGCAACTGGAATTTCTCAGGGCTTTCTCCCCCCCCCCCCCCGAAAACATTTTGCTTCCCATCCAGGAAGCTTCTACGGTTCTCTTGGATGAGAAGTGAAATGTTTTGGAAGAAAAACAAACAAACAAGAAAGTCCAGTTGCCTTTGGGAAAAAGCAGCTTTGGGACCAGGGTGGCCTGGACGATGGGGAATCTCCATAGATGACAGTGAGGACAATTAAGCAGTGGAACAACCTGCCACCAGAAGTTCTGGGTGCTCCATCGCTGGAGGTTTTCAAGAAGAGATTGGACAGCCATTTGTCGGGAATGGTAGAGGGTCTCCTGCTTGAGCAGGAGGCTGGACTAGACGACCTCCAAGGTCCCTTCCAACTAGGTTATTCGATTAAGTCTTCTCCACTAGTAGCTGTCTTGGTTCCCTGTCACTGAAACGAGATCTTTTTCCCTCCAGTATAAACAGGAGGAGCTGGAAGGGGAGGGCTGGGAATACGCCTCCCTCTTTGGCTGGACCTTCCATATGAAACACCGCAAGACGGATTCCTTTCGCCGTCGGCGCTGGAGACGTCGGATGGAGCCCCTGGAGCAGACGGGCCCAGCCGCGGTCTTTGCCCTGGAAGGCGCCCTGGTAGGTAGCATCCGTTCTTCCTTTCGCCCAGGGACAGGTGGTCCTCCACTTACCACGACAATTGAGCCCAACGTCTCTGTCGCTAGGCGAGACAGGGGTTCAGTGACTTTTGCCCCGTTTTGTGACCTTTCTGGCCATAGTTGTTAAGTGAATCACTTGGCGTTGGTGAAGTTAGGAGCATGGTTACTACAACCCTTTGGCTGGAAAGACCTAGGCCAGGGGTGGGGAAACCTTGGCTCTTTTATGACTCGTGGACTTCAACTCCCAGAATTCCTGAGCCAATATGGCTCAGCTTGGAAACCTCTCCCTTTCCCCTCAGCATGGCTGGCTCAGGAATTCTGGGAGTTGAAGTCCACCAGTCATGAGGGGGGCCATAGTTCCCCCATGCTGGCTCAGGAATTCTGGGAGTTGAAGTCCACGTCATAAAGAGGCCATAGTTCCCCCATGCTGGCTCAGGAATTCTGGGAGTTGGTCCACAAGTCATAAAGGGGCCGCAGTTCCTTAAGCTGCCTCAGGAATTCTGGGAGTTTATGTCTACCAATCATAAGGGGACCACAGTTCCTCATGCTGGCTCAGGAATTCTGGGAGTTGAAGTCCACAGGTCATAAAGAGGCCGTAGTTCCCCATGCTGGCTTAGGAATTCTGGGAATGAAGTCCACAAATCATAAGGGGGCCACAGTTCTCTATGCAATGTATTGTCTAGGCCAGAGGTAGGCAACCTTGGCTCTTTTATGACT